ATTTCATGAATTATATTATTGCATTTGGCCGCAGCCCTCAGATAAATTTTCATTTTGGAGAAAAGCTTTGTGCAGCTTTGATATAAGCTGAAACAGCTAAACAAGTGCATCCTAAAATTAACATAAATTCATTATTTTAATACAACAGTCATTTCTGCATTTCTTGTGGAGGTCACCTCCTAATAAATGTCATTACAGAAAATCTAATTGCTCATTTTAAATCAAAACTTTTACTTTTAATACTTAAGTACAAAAAATAACAGATACTTTAAGACTTTTACTCAAGTGTTATTTCTAAAGGAGACTTAACTTTTACCAAAGTAATTTTTTGGTAAGATACTTGTACTTTTACTCAAGTATCACTTTGTGGTACTTTATACAACACTGGTTTAATGCCACACATACAGTGATTTCCAATTTTTTCCTCTTCCTTTGTTGCCTTCAACCTGGAATTTTAATTTGATTAAATGCAACAATTCTTGTAAAGTTATATGAAGGTAATTTAATAATGATTAAAAAACAAAATGACCTCCATAAATTTCAGATTTCAAAACATCAGAGGAAAAAATCTTGTTTTAAACAATAATTAGAAAGATGGATCATGGATAGGCAACTGGTGGCCTGCAAGTCACATCAGGGCTTTGTGTGACTTCTGTCCAGGAGCGATGGATGGATGGATGGATGGATGGATGGATGGATGGATGGATGGATGGATGGATGGATAGACAGTAGATCCAAAAAAAATAAAATAAAAAAACGCATTTTTAAATTAATTTATTTAGTTATTGTTCCCACATAAACAAAAGAACACTTTCACAGATCTCCCACCACTGTTTTGAATGACCTTTCCACCCTGAACACAACTATACAGAAAACAGAAACTTCTCAGAGTAACGATGCTGTCAGTTCAACAACAATGACATTGATTACAAAACTTTCAGTTAATCAGAAATAAAGAAAAACATATTTATTACACACAAAATATGTCAGGTAGTTAAAGTGGACTTCAAAGGGTCAAAATCAGTAACACGGCTATGTTATCACAAAAAATCTTCATTTTCTGCAGTAAGTTAGTGAATCATCTTCTAAATATTAGAGTATTAAACGATGACACCATTTATCAGACAGTAAACATCCTGGTAGGACAGAAGGATATAAAAAGAGCTATTAAAATCATGCACTTTCAAAACAAACAAAAAAAAAAGGCTGGAAAACTTAAATATTTCACACTTCCTCTGCAGTAGTTTACATAGTTTTTGTTCTGGAGTGATAAATACTGATCCAGTTTTGATCAAACAGTACTAACATCTGGACATTTGTTTSTGAAAACCAGGTCAGCTTTAAGTACCGAACTGTTTTCAACAGATAAAACTACCTTGTGTTTATTAACTGAAGAGTAATTTGCTTTWCAATCCAGTTCATTTCAGTATCTGTGCAAAAGTAAACAAATCACTGTCACTTATTTTGCTGCCTGCAGATAAATTAAGAGCTCCCAGTAACTTCTGTTCGACAGATTCATTTTATCATAGAAAAAAATCTTTCAAAGAAACCCGAATTTGAAAAAATTAAAAAGAAAGAAAACAGTACAAACTCGGGACTTTGTCACAGTGAGGATTTGTTGTTGTTGTTTTCTGTTTTGTTTTTCTTGCTCCTCCCACACCCAGAACTGAGAGAGGCTTTTAGCTGAGAACAACATGGCGGTCGAACACAGACTTCCTCTGCTCCTGGACCTGCCTCCTCCAGCGCTGCTGAGCGTGCTCCACTTTGTTCAGCATGTTGGGCCGGGAGTGTGAACGGGACAGAACATTGTGAGCATTGGCAAAAGGCTGCTGGTCCTACGTGAACAAAAACAAAAAACACATTAGTGAAGTTCAGTGAAGACAAAACACAGACATGTTTAGAAACAAAATCAGTTTGAGCATTTAAACAATTKGAGAACTGAATGTGAGTTAAGATTTAATAAAATATTTTCAAGCATTTCACATGATGGTAGTTTGTCATCAGTGWGTGCGCTTTTTATTTCAGTTATAGCTGATCAAAATAAGTCAAAAATTGTACTTCTCTGTCCTTCCATATCAAACGTCTCAATTCACGGGTTACAGCCGATGTCGGCTGCTTATGTAACTGCCCCACACCGTAGGCTGTCCCAATTCGTAGGTGCCTACTCAGGCGGCCGACAAAACCCCAAAAACATCGGCTGCATCCGATTATACGCGGCCGACGGTATCCCAGAATTCATTGCACCGTCAACAAATTAAACAAAAAAACAAAAGCAGTGAAGTTTCTTTTAATGGCAGAGTTTTTTTTTTTTTAATTAAGGCTTTTTGGCTGCATGACGGATCAGTGGTTAGCACCGATGCCTCACAACAAGAAGGTCCTACGTTCGATCCAGGCTCTTTCTGTGCGTYAGTTTTCTCCGGGTACTCTGGTAAACATGTATAATAGGTTTCCTTCAGGCCCAGACCACCATTGAAAATGAGATCTGAGAGCTCAATGGGACTTGCCTGGTTAAATAACGGTAAATAAAAAATATATATTTGTTTATTTGTATCGTTTTTCTATTAAAGCTGAATTTTGCCAATTTATACCTTGAAAACAAGGTAACGAGGCAGCACGTGGTCACGCAAACATACATCTTCCGTAGACTAGACCAGAGGTTCTCAAAGTGGGGTCCCAGGACCCCTAGGAATCTGTGAGTCGTGTCTTGGGGGGTCCTCAAAAAATTTCAAGAAATTGTTAATTTGGTTTTTATTTCAAAAGATGCATATGAGGAYTACTGCAGTGGTAAAACAAACAAACTAAACCATACAAAAATACTATTACCATGGCATTTAGGGGTTAAAGTTAAACAAATGGTCAATGATTTTGCATTAACAGCATCGGGTTTATTAAGGGGGGTCCCTGGAATTTCTTCACCCTTGTAAAGGGTCCCCAGACCAAAAACGTTTGAGAAACCCTGGACTAGACAGTCTCATTTCACAGCCGTTTATGCAGCCGACATGAACAATCAACAGCTCACGTCAGCTGCAAACCATGAACTGAGACACAGCCACAGGACATAAACTGTCCAGTCAGCTAAATCTGAATCTCCGTCTTTTTTAAAGCAATTATTTACTCCTCTATTTAAAATTTGTCCCCAGTGCTTCTGCTGGAACTGGAAGACGTACGCCAGTACCTGCTAAAATAGACATTTCTGCTCTGTTCAGCTTTTTTATAAACTTTTTTTTTTGCTATTTTTCTATTGATTTTTTTCCCTCTTGTTTTCCTCCTTTCAGCAAAACTCAGCTGTCAAAATTTACTTCAGATCAACAGTTTTCTAGTAAACATTTTCAGCTTCTTCAGCTAAAATCTTTCAGCATTAAGCTTTCACACTGCGTGCTCGTTTTCTGATTTATTTCTGTTCCTTCTTGTTTTGTTAATTTGTGCTGTTTCCATCCTTTTTGCAGAAAAAAACTCTGATCTGCTACCAGTTTTAACTTTGATTAACTCTAAATATCTAAACACAAAGACTGAGCTCAGTTAAATAATGCATAACCTTTGCAGATTTTTTTAATAATCTCCTTAGTCAGCTGAGCATTTAGAAGGACAAGACTAACAAAAAGCACAAACCTTCAAAAAATAAGTGTTAAGTAAGTTACAGAGTCCTTGAACCTCATAAAACTGTTAAATTTTACCCATAATCCCTGATTCCCATGTGATGTTTTATGCAACAAAACGGTTACACATTAAGAGAGTTATGACGGAGAGCTCAGCTTCATATCTTTGCTGAACAAATGGTAGCACTCTTCAGATCCACACATACCCCAACATCGTCTTCACTCTGGATAAGCTGCGAGTGTCCAAACAGCCTCCTTTTCAACATGGGCTCCAGGAGAGTCAGATAAACCATGTAGAGCAGCAGCAGGCCCAATATAGACAGGTACATTATGATGGTGACCTGAAGATATGGAACAATCACTCTCTGCTTTTTGACTAAACAGTAAATATGATCTTATTAACATAAAGCTTGATTTTCCCCCTCATTATAAAAACTTTTGAAATGGACAAATAATTATCTAACAGATGAATCAGTATTTTAATCACTGATCAGACGTTTCAATATAAACTTACCTTAATCGTCCCGGAGCTCCTCTCCTCATATTTACACTCACAGCGCAGACAGTAAGCCTCAACGTCTTTCCCATCCACCGGCATTGGTTCCACCACATGGAGACAGTTACTGACAAGAAAACACCATTAATAACTTTACATGATACAGGTTTGTTTCAAAATGATGTAGTGATAATAACATACCAGTCTTTGAGGGACACATTTTGTTTGTAGATATGCCCCTCGACGTCTCTGTATGGCGGACAGATACATTTACAGCGGAAGTCTTCTGAATTCTGAAACAAATATAAATGTTAAAGGATCGTTTTTTCCATCATTGTGTTTTAATGTTGCTCTCATTTTAGTTAAAATAAAATACATTTTAGTAAAATGACATAAGGACAAAACATTATAGCTGTTGCTGTTTAGAAGCAGCTGAGTTAATATTAATTTTAGTATGGCAGCATTAAGATTAACTTAAATCAATTAAACATTACAATTCATCACACAGTTTTTTTTTTTTTTGGTAGGTTACTGCTTATTCTTGGAAAATTAATCTTTTCAATGTTTTTTGAGATTTCTAAGTAAACAGCTGTATTTTAAAATGTTTTATTTGTGTCCTGGGAAATAAACATTCAGCAAAAAATAATTTTACACAGTAATAAGAACCCATATGAGCACAAACATGATCAAAAACGCATTAAATGAAAACGATCAAACCTCTTAATTCGACATTTAGTCAAACGCTTACGACTGAAAATAAGATGTGATTAATTTCTTAAACAAATGGTTCAGAGATTAGATCTCACTACAGTTGCACTCCTTCGTAGTTTTCTGTTCGGCTAGCTAACCAGGCTAACGCTAGCTTTACCTTCGCTGAAACCCGGCAGAGCAGCACGAAACACAAAAAACAGAYAGCCCCGACAGAAAACAGAGGCTTCATTTTTACTGTCCGTCAGAGCGAGTCGGATAAAATGTCTCCTGAGTTCACCCAGTGACGACAACCAAACCCTAACAACTGACGACGTTAGCCATCGAGCTAAGATAAACTGAGGCAGCTGATTTTGTTTTCCACGATGACTTCCGCTTCCGCATTCAGTCACGTGACCAGCCAGGGGYGGTATTTATCAGGTAATGTTACTTATTCTTCACAAAATATGTTTGCGTGCGTGTTAATAAATTAAGTCAGGCTGATTTTCACTCATTGCTATATTATCTAAATAAATCTTTTTTGAACATATAAAAAATGTCTGTCGGAATAGCCAGTTCTGTGTAAAAGTTTTAAACATTTCTTAAACTTTTCTTCCAGGAGACATACTTTCTGTTAAACCGGTCTCCTTTAACCCACAGTATTTTTTCCCCAAGTCAGCCTTTTCACTCTTTTGCCCAGTCCCGACCGTGTCAGAATTGTGTGCAGTTTGTGTTTGAAAAATTAGGAAAATGGGAAGGTGGAGGACAAAAAATGTCAGCCTTGACAGAAACTACCTACAGCTTTTGTGTGTCAGCAAAACCCTGGTTTGTCCCTTGAGTTTATTACGCCTGGGTGACTCACAGGTCAGAGTTGTGATTTAACAATCCAAACAAASAAAAACACTGCTCAGACAAAGCACAAAAACTGAACACGTCTAAACAGAAAATGAGTGAAAAACACAAAATCACACAAAGTTCAAAGTAAACCTCTAAAAGACTTCAAAAAGCTGCTTGTAATTAGAAAAGTATAATATTTACTTGTTTTGTATTGATATCACACTGCAGTCAGAACACACACACAAAAAATGTTTAGTTCCATAAAAAAGTGATGAAAGTCATGAAAAAACTGTTTCCTGTCTTTATTTACAGCATATTAGATGTACAAAACCTTAAAAATATACATTAATGTATCATGTAAAACAGGTGAATTGCTCAGTTGTATTTTACAAAGTTCTTTTAAATGTTATCTTTTTGTACCTCASTCAGTGTTTTGGGGTTCATCTTAGTAGTTTTTTTTATGATGCAAACAGGGTTTGTTGTGTTGAAGCTGTCATTATTTCACAAATGCATCAAAAGTAGTCATTTTCAGCTTTTTCCTGCTATACTGTTACATTTTAGCATTTCACCTAAAACTTTTTTACATCATGTACAAGATCATCACCAGAATAATAGCTTTGTGGTGGAACTACCTTTTTTTAGTAGTGCTAGTGTTCCCATTAAAACATTTGTGCTCTTTTTGTTCCTGATGTTTAGCAGAAATCCTCTCAATTATTCAACCCTACCGTATGTTATAACTAGATGCACATTACAATATATATATA